GATCGAACCTGCAACCTTCCGATTACTGGACAACCCGCTCAACCTGTTGAGCTACTGCTGCCCCTAAGCTTTCACAGGGTTAATGAAATGTCACTCTGATCCCTACCACCTTCTCTGGCCAGAATATCGCACTTGCAACTTCAGAGTGCCCATCTAATCAGTAGCATTTAGAAAAAAATGGAGCTGACATACCTGGTGCTGCAGTCTGCTTTCTGCATGTTTTCTATATGTTTTAGATCATGAACACAGCTACTTTGTTTGATTTTGTTATGAATCACTCCTGTGGACACTAATAAAGGCTGGAGAGACACTTCACTACATTCAGATTAAGATGTTAAAAACAAAAATGCACAGCGAGGAGATACGGTTTTCTTTTGGTTCTACTAAATGGACACAAGGGGTGCTAAGACAAGACAAAATTAAAAATTTAAGTACAAAATCGTAATTGAACAAAGTTTTGCTGCAAACAAAAAAATGAGAATTCTTGAGTAGTTTTTAGAGCAACTAAAAGGACTAAAATGTGAAATTGTAGTTTAGAGAAAAATCTCAAAACTCACAAAAAAAAAAGATTGTTCCACCCATCAGCAGCTGGAAAACTTTGCAACTATTAGTATATTCTTTTGATTGTGTAAAACAGATTTTAAGCTTGTATAATGTCTCTGATGATCATCTACTTAGTCCAATAACACTAACTGTACCATACTGTACTCCCATTTGTTTATAAACCCGGGCTTTCCACCACACGTGTAAGCTGCACAAACCATAATGGACGCATTTTCACTGCAACCTCTGCAGCACATCCCTCTCTGCCGGAAGTGTTTTTCAACACAGCTGTAAATGTATTCCACGCTGCTGTTCCCATAAGATCACCAAATTACTGGAGAATTGCAAGATCACGTGTGATTTTGCCCAGTAACAAGCAAATAGAAAGACATCAGCAATTATCCAAGAGGTCTGTGTTTTATTTTATTTTTTAATTTTACCTCGGCCAAGTGGGTGTTACAGGCATTGACACACTTTCTTCATAGTTAAGCAGATGTAAATTTGCATGTATCTTTTATTTTGAAAATTTCCATAGGCTTTACACTTCTCCCCTGTTCAACGTCCTATCTGACCCAATCTAAAATGTTTAGCTTGAGGTGTCGTAGAAGCGTAGCACGTAAAAAAGGGGCCCGGCGCTACGCTAATCTTCTGGGATACTTCCGAGACGTGCTGTGTGCCCAGTGGAAATGTTTGTTTTTATTTATGTAGGTGAGTTGACTAGGAAAACATTCTCGTTTACAACGATGGTCTGAAACAAACCCATTGATTATAATGCAGTTATAATCTGCTTCTTGCACTTCTCAGACATCACGCTCCATCTTACGCATCTATTGGAACGCCGGAATAATCCTCTTCCTTTTTTAAAACATTAGTACTTTCAAAATCCTGCTGCATTGAAGCTTATAGATGTCTTCTGTCCACTGGAGGAAACTGGAAATACTACAGATAGAAGTGTCATTTTTATATGTTTACAAAAAACATGTTTATAGAATGTCCAACTGGCTCTGTCTGTAAAAGAGCTCAGTCTGGGCCATCATCTGACAGAAATAAATAGCACAACTTAAAGTTGGCCTCGCAACGTATTTTTTTTTCATGTCCTGATCGTAAAAGAAAGACATAAATCCTAAGAGTATCAAATGCTGTACTTTAGGCTGTAGCGTATAAAAACAAATAGCTGACGCTGGTCCCATTTAGGGGTTGCCCTCTTATTTATCCTGAGAGGATTCTGACCAATCACTGTTGAGTGCTGACATCATGTGGGCATTGTACAATCAATGGGGAATACTCTGCTCGTTGCATTGTAAAATGAGTGGAATGAGAGTAGAATAAAAGAAGTGGTTTATTTATTTTTTCTTCATTTCTTTTTTCAGCTTGACTTACAGAACTGTTGTGTTGGTTGCCTGGTAACTGTAATACTCCGAGATAAGCCACATGTGCAGAAGCTCAGGAGAATTAGACTCCGGGCATCTTTCTCTCTGTTCCCCCCTCCTTGTCTTTCCTCTTTCTCCCTGATGTGGTATATATTTTTTCTGGAGGTTATTATAAGTGAAGAGTTGTAAAGGAAAATCCATATGTTTTCTTTGTTTTGTCTCACCGGTTGTGACTCATACAGATCGCAGAGCCACTGTTGTGCCAGGGAGCTCACACCTTGACAAGTGGGATGAAAAGCAGCAATAGAGTGAGGTCAGACAGGCTGAGGGAATATTTCAGAAAGCCATCAGGCTCATGTAGGAAGCAGAGTTGGTGGAAATGTGACATTCATGGCTCCTTTTCTCTGTTAGGCCCTCCCCTTACTCCTCCAGCAACTCTGAAGCAGGGCGTGAGAATATCACTGGATCTTTGAGACTGGAGGAAAACATGCATCTTGTCTTCATTAATGCAGCAGCAGTGACCCCAAGGGGTTCCACGGGTGGCCAAGGGCCCCCCATGGAAAATTACTGTCCTCCAGTTTAATAAATCATATTTGAAATACATATAAAAATAACTAAATTTGTTTTTGTTTGGATAGTAATAGGTAAATTAAACTGCTCTCAAATGCGAAAACAGTAAATAAAATTAAAATGATTAAAGGGATACTTTGCAACTTCTTCGTATTTTTAAATATTTTTCTTGAGCCAGTATTTTCTAAAATGTCACTCAAACCCTCACCAGCCTCTGTGGCCAGAACACCATATTTGCAATTTAAGAGTGTCACCTGTTAGACTTAGAAAAACATTGAGCTTACATACCTGGCACCGCAGTCTGCTTCCAGCAATTTCAGTCATGTTTTAGATCATGAACACAGCTTATTTGTTTGATTTAGTGATCAATTGCTCCTGTAGACACTAAGGAAGTCTGGGGAAACATTTAAGCTGTTAGATTGGTGTTAAAAAAGATGAACGCACAGCAAGGAGATAAGTTTTACTTTTGATTTGACCACAGATAATTAATAACGGACGCTAGGGGGTGCTGAAAGGAATATTAAAAAATGAATGCGTTTCTGAGGAGAGTGTTCAACCGAAACAGCATTTGGGATTTTATTTAGAAATATGCCGACCGGAAGTATGTTATCGTATGCGTTTTATGTTGAAATCTATCCCGGCCATTCGTTAATTCATTTTGAAAAATTACAACCGTAAGTATGTTAAATGACAACTACATATGAACAATAGAGAAATAATTGATAGATTTGACGTAATATTTTATATTGAAACCTATCAATTACAAGCGTAAGTATGTTTGCCGTTTTCCGTAAGTACGTTTGCTGTTTTATTTTGTAATGTATCCCGTGCATTTCCCATCCTGACCGTCCTGACAGTGGAGGTCTCCAGCCAGGTGCCTCTCCTTTTCTTAACATCTGTTCTGTCAAATGAGATGGAGAATGATGCTTGTGATTGGGTTGTCCAGAAACCTGAGATCACTTCCGTCATGACGCCATTCGCCTGTTGTTTTCCTAGACCTGTTTAGCGGATGGACATCCCACCGCTGTCTCCTTTTATGCTCTCGCTGGTATTTTAGCAAGATAAGCATTTCTTCGTCTAGATCACACAGTCCCAACTCGATCAAACTTCTCTTACTCGTGTTGCTTGCCATTTTTCAGACCACGGAAGTGATTTCCAAGGAAATAGTAAGACGTCACTGTACTGCTACCTACACCATGCCCTCTGTTGTCCTGGCGGAGAATTGCTTTGCAACACCCTGTCAGCAAACAGGGAAGTATGAGAGCAAAACGCTTCCGTCAATCCGTGCGTGTCTGTCCTTTGTGGAGCTGACGCAGAAGCATGACTCAGGCTTAAGACTAAACCAGTGATCAGGATTTAATGTAGGAACCACAACTAGCTCTTGCCCCTAGCTTTCCCGTTCACTTTTTTCCTGTGTTTTCACAGTGAATTTAAAATTATACATTAAAATGAATTGTTGTTTACTAGGAAAGTGGTTAAATAAATCAGTAATCAAAAAAAAGCATTGTAATTTTTTATGACCTGGATCTGTGGCACCTGTGATGAGAACTTCTTTGTTCTTTCTTCTTCTCTCTGTTTTTCAAGTCTCAGGCGCTGTCTCTTAGAGCTGTACACGTTTTCAGGCTCACTGGAGGCATTCCAATAGATCCATCAATTTGGCAAAGCAGTGTGTGTGAAGCATAATAGTTATTCCCTGGGGATGCATACGCAAACACACACACACACACACACACACACACATACACACACACACACACACACACACACACGCACGCACGCACGCACGCACGCACACACACACACACACACACACACACACACACACACACACACCAATATATGTATTTTATTCAGCTTTTCTGTGGTTTTACTGGCAGGGTGTCCTGGAAGCAATGTGTGTGTGTGTCGGTTGTGTGTTCCTTTTGTTTTTCTACATGGCCTTGTTGGCCTGTGTGGTTTTCGCTAAGCTGCTTATACAATACTCCCACATCATAGCATATCCTGTGTTAGACAACAGTTCTGCCTGCGCCTCTTCTTCTCGCAGATTATGGTGATGTCAGTCACAATGTAACACGACGGCGCATCAGTTTACAGCCATAAATGTTGCCTGTCGAAATCAGTTTCAGACATTTTGGCATGAATTTGCAATAAAAAAAAAAACTTGTGTGCGTGGGTTCAAAACGTCATGGTTTGAATAAAATCCTGACAAAGCGCAACATCATCACGAGTTAGAAAACACGTTCTTATGCATGATCCAGATGATGAACAATGATAATAAAGATTATTTTCACTCAGTTAGAGGGATCTGCTGCAACTGAGGATTTTATCACGTTTATCTGACACTTTAACTGCAGCGTTGCTTCTAAAAAGATGCAAAAGCTACCAACTCACTTTTCTTCCTGCAGTTATCTAATCTGTTGCTCTGTCTTCTGTCTTTTTTCTCCCTCTCTCTTTGTTTTCTGACATCTGCCTCTTTTGGTGTTCATCCAACTTGTCCTCTCTACCTGGGGACTGCAGTGATGGCTTCTAAAGGCAAAGTCCGAGGTGAGTCGAGGCTGCTGGTTTCCTCTGCTCTGAGCTTTGCAATAAAAAAAGACTTAGAATCACACCTTTCAAATAATCACTGTGGTTTTTCTTTTATTCATAAAATTCCAATTCTAGTTATTCTAGGGCTTATTTCTTTGTATTTTCCAAGCACAAATCAATCATATATATATATATATATATAGTTATTAAACCTCCATTTTGCTTTTTTCTAGTCACACATTTACTTTACATATAATTTTTTGTTATTTATTCATTTATTTTCATTCCTAAATACTCCAAATTATTTATTTGAGACTCATAATTCAAATGATTGATTGCTGTTGGTAACTCACCAATATTTAGAATAATAAAATGTTAATTCTATTATTTATTAATTGTTTTAGTTAAAGCCCACGTGCGCCTAAAAGGTTGCATTAATTTCAACAAATATTCTGACTTCATGTTTGGCTTTATGACTAAAAAGTTCAGATTTTTAATGCATGTGTCAGTAATTATTATTGACATGAAAAGAACTTCAAAATCCGTGAACACTGAGACATAACAGTTTTTAATCTACATTCAGTTGTAAAAGTTTTAAATATTATTTAAAATTTTGCCAGCAACAAGTACTGCAACCCAGCCAAAGGTCGTTAACCCTTTCATGTAGTGGTGTCCCGTTCCGACATCAATATCGGAAATAGTTTGATATTGGCCCCAAAAAAAAAAACCACACTGTGTTGGATTATATTGGACTGCATCAAAAATCTCTGATATAAGCAGTCCGTTAAGGTTCACAATTTGCAACCAGTGGTTAAAAATAATAATTTGTTTTTCATAGTTACTGTTATTGGCTCTTGTTCTCCGATTGAGTAATATCACTTGGTCAAGACTTTCATACGTTCCACAATACAATATAGGTAAAAGTATGGATGATTTGTGCTGATAATGTATCGGATTGATATTGGTATCGATCAATACTGAAGGCTGCAATATCAGTATCGTATCGTAAGTGAAAAAGTTGTAGCGGGACAGTCCTACTTTCATGCATGGTGGCCAATACAGTGAACAATAACAAAATACTTGTATAAAGTCTTGTGTGTTGGTGGAACAAATATTTCAAAGAAGTAGATCCTCATTTATTACATTTACAGTGGTCTTTAGGAATGAGTGCCTTCTAAGGGGATAAACTATATACCACGGCATCATTTCTTGGGCCTAAATGTTTCCCACATCACAGCTGAGCTTCAGATGACAGGTTTTGGACTCTTATTTCCTGATCTTTGACCATCTCGCTCCAGATTGGATAACAACAATGTGACTCTACCACTGACTTTGAATATATCTCCACGAGTAATACAAGCCTGGAGGAGCTTCTGCTATGTGGTGGAGTTGCTAATGTAAACGGTTAGCTTAAACTAGCCGAGATGTCCGCTGCTGATTCCCGGACGTTAAAACAACAACAGCCTTCCCCGTTGAGAGTCAAGAAGGGTGAATCCATGAATAGTTATTCACAGTGCAACGTAGATCTGTCAGGCTTTTCAAATCCTAGAGTTTCACTGTCTATTTTCTATCAGAAGCTAATGCAGGAGATAGGTGTTGGAGACTATTTTTTATTTGTTTTATTATTTTTATTTGTTTATTTCATTCAAAATAAAACAAATAAAACATATAAACAATAAGAAATACATAACAAAAAATCTAATTTGAACGAAAAGGAGCAGAATGGAGAAAAACATCTTATAATTTCTGCCCCCTTTTCCAGTAGAAATAATCAATTTATATATAATTTCCATTTGTCAGACACACATACAGATTCATTTTAAACTTTTTCCTGTTCTAAATTCCAGTGCGATCATGATCATTGATTTAATTTACATTTTCATAATTATTTAGTACACTCAATTTGGTACATTTTTTGAATATATTAAAAGACAGAGGTTTTTTTCCCATTTTAAGGTTATTCCATATATTAACACCATTTACAGATACATTCTATTACTTAATTTTAGTTCTAAATCTAGGTTTTGTAAACACATCAGTTTCTTTCAGCATGTAATTACTAGTTCTCTTTTCAAATGTCCCCTGAATGTTTGTTGGCAGAGTACCTAAACTGGCTTTATACAGTACATGGTTTGTATGATTTTCTAGTCTTTTAAATCATGAAATTTCAGTGATTTTTATTTAATAAACAATGAAACTATTTTCATGTTTAGCCTGCATGAAAAACTCAGAGTGATGGATTATAATCATAAAAGCACGGCATAGCACTGAAAGTGCACTTCTACGAGTGGTGAATGACTTATTAATGATCACTGATTCTGGCAACTCAGCTGCTGCTGCCAGACTTATCTGCTGCTTTAGACACCATTGATCATGATATTATGTTGTCTCGATTAGAGTCTTGTGTTGGTATAAGGGGCACAGTGCTTGATTGGTTTCAGTCTTATCTACACGACAGGTCCTTTTCTGTGAACTTGGGAACTTTTACATCACCACCAGCACCTGTGACTCGTGGTGTTCCACAAGGTTCCATTTTAGAGCCAACACTTTTCTCACTGCATATTTTACCATTGTCCTCTATCTTCGCCAGACACAACATTACTTTTCATTGCTTTGCTGATGACCTTCAGATATATCGCCCACTCATCCCGGATTCAGCTGTATCCTTAATGGCCTGCTTAGCTGATTTGAAGCAATGGATGTCAATTAATTTTATGAAATTGAATGGCCTGAAGACAGAGATTTTAGTTTTAGGCAGTGGAGACCTGTTAATGGGTGCAGTGAGCCCACTTGGTTCCCTTTCGGATTTTGTAAAGCCTTATGTGGAAAACCTGTTTTTTTTTTATGGATGGTTCATTTAAATTGGACAGACAGATAAGTGCAGTGGCCCAGTCTGGTTTTTATCACTTGAGGCAACTTGCAAAGATTAAGTGCAATTTGCCGGAAACTGTCTTTGAGCATGTTATTCATCTCTTTGTCTCCTGTCGACTAGATTACTGCAACTCCCTGTACTATGGATTAGGGCATTCCTCCTTGAACCGCTTGCAACTGGTTCAAAATGCAGCAGCCCGCCTTTCAACAGGTGCAAGGAAGCATGATCACATCTCTCCAGTGCTTGCTTCCCTTCACTGGCTGCCAATGCATTACAGGATTCAGTTTAAATTGTTGCTTTTTGTTTATAAATCACTTTATGGTCTGGCCCCTCCTTATATAGATGATTTATTGTTACCCTACACTCCTGCCAGGAATTTGCGGTCGGGCTCACAGTTTTTATTGTCAGTTCCAAAGGCTCGCCTAAAGACGAGAGGACATAGGGCTTTTTCTGTGGCCGGTCCTACACTCTGGAACAGTCTTCCCCTGCAGATCAGGACCTCACAAAATCTGGATGTCTAAGTCCTTGCTTAAAACTCATTTATTCAACCTGGCTTTTTTGTAGGATGATTTTATTTTGTCATTGTCATTCTTTCTCATTTTTATTGATTTCATAATAGTGTGATGTAATGCTGTTTTTATCCTAAGTTGCTAATTGTTATGGTTTTGTGGTTTTTAGTTATACTTTCTTGCGATTTTATCCTCTGTGTTGAACAGCACTTTGGGTTGCGGAAGCAATAATAAGTGTGCTTTAGAAATAAATGTGACCTTGACCTAAATAATCATTAAAAAATGCTTTTTTTAGTGAACCACACCTTTAAAGTCAAAAAACAAGTTGTTTGTGTCTGGATTATTGGATGAGCCTTTAATTTGTAGATGTTTAAACAAAGTGTAAAATGAATTTTTTGTGGCTAATGACCAATGAAAACACAGGTTCTCACAATTTTTGTAACTCACGGTAACATTTTATTGGCTGTTTTGTTTTCTAGTAAAATCTAAGTGAAATAAATGAACAGGTATTTTTTTCTGATTATTAAATGTTTAAAAATAAACCAGAAATATTTTTGGCAAAGTCAGATCTTGTGAGTCAGATTAGATTTCTTTAATACATTTTTGTTGTATTAAAAGGTATATAAAAGTTTATAAACTAGTAATCAAAGTAGGTGATTTTAAATTTGCATGCTACAATGAAAAGTATGATACTCATCACTGGATTAGTTTTAAAGTGTAATCTTAAAAAATAAAACAAATGTTCGCGGAGTCTCTGGGATCGAGTCTCGCACAAAACCACAGGAAGCTTTTTTATTTGAAGAACAACGTGCACCTAAAACAAAAATTTGCCTTTTACACATTAGAACATCAATGAGGATCCATTCATTTTAGTTCCATGACATGATCAGTCTAAAGCAATCGATCTGAATATGGAAAGGAAAGTCACGAGTAAATACATTCTTTATATTTCTAATAATTTTTCAGTTTTCTTGACATTTTTATTTACCTTCCATCCCTTTAAGTGCATCTTTCCAAGGTAGCATCATTTTACACATTTAACTTTTTTTTTCATCACAAATGAACAATAATCAACCAGTTAATCTGATGTTTATCATTTGTAAATGTTAAGTTTGTATATTCTGGTATGACTCCTGACTCCTGCCAAACCTTGTTGCTTCACCACATCACTGCTTCTCTTTAATCTCCTTCTCCACGAATCCTCATCATCGGGAATGGTTGTTTAAGACGTGAGCATCATTTGCCTCTCAACGCTTGACTACATAGACTTTTCTCATTTTCCTGCTGCGTCTGAATGTTTAATTAATTCAGACCGTCTCTCATCCCATCAGCATCCAGCTGGATGTGTTAGACTGTGATGCCTCATTCACTGTAGCATTCCTCTTTAAAACCGCCTCACCAGATCTTCAGCCCACTGTGACACTACAGAGAGGACCTCTGTCCTCCTGCAATACTACATTTATTCAGCTGCACTTCCACTGCTTTTTCTCAGTCCGTTGTTTTACTGGTGGAAGATATTTTTAGAAACTGTGACAAGATGCCAGGAGCGCTAACAAACCTCACAAGGGAAAACATAACAGAGATGTAACACCTTTACACCACATAAAGAAATCACAACATAACACTGTCACGATTCG